GACCAGGATGGTCTCGATCTCTTGACCTCGTGATCCACCCGCCTCGGCCTCCCAAAGTGCTGGGATTACAGGCTTGAGCCACCGCGCCCGGCTGATGGGCATAAACAGTTCTAAGAATAAACACAATTGACTGCTCTGCCTATGGAGTAGCCAGCCATTCTTTATTTCTTTAATTTTTTCATAACAACAACAACAAAATGAATAAACACAATGACTTGTTGAGAATTAGAATTTAGTTGGTCGAAGCAGAAATGTGCACACATACAAGAGAGTAAACTACTAGTCTCAAGCAGTCAATAATTCTGCAGTTATTCCCAAGGACATTGAGAAGGCCAGGTATTTTTCTTTTCTTTCTTTTTTTTTTTTTTGTTTTGAGATAGGGTCTAACTCAGCCCAGGCTGAAGTGCAGTGGCACCATCACAGCTCACTACAGTCTCAGCCTCCTGGGTTAGAGTGATCCTCATACCTCAACTTCCCTAGTAGCTGACACCACATGTGAGAGCAACCACACTCTGCTAATTGTGTGTGTGTGTGCGTGTTTGTGTGTGTGTGTGTGTGTTTAGATGAGTTCTCCCTGTGTTGTCCAGGCTGGTCTCAAACTTATGGGCTCAAGCAATACGCCTACCTTGGAGCTGGAATTACAGGCATGAGCCACTGCGCCCAGCCACAGCCGCAGCCGCTTATTTAACCTTAGTTTCTTCAAAATGAGAGAAATAATATTCCCTGCCTTCAGGGTTGCTATCGGGATCAAGTGAAATCACTTAGGTAAGTACTGGCACACAGAAGCAAGAAAATGAAACAAGATGGACAAAAACAAAAATGGAATGATCAAGATTAATGGGCTCTAACTGGATCCACTTTGCCATGGTTTCCCCAGGCCGTCAACAATCACATCTGAGACTTCAGGATTGCACCACACAGAACTGATTAAACAATATACCACACATAATTGGTTTGTTTAATACCACCCCTCCCTTGCCCTCTGCCTCCAGCATACTTCCTATAGTACAGGCAGGGTAGATCTAACTATTGAAAAGAATCCCTAACGCTTTTCCAGGGTAGAATTCTGGCTCGTCCAAAAAGGGTCCTTCTTTTAAGCGTTTTGAGAAACTAGACACTGCAACTTTATTAGTATCAGCGACGTTTGTTTGGAGCCAAATCGGCTCCAGGAGCTGCCTGGTTGAATGCAGGAGGAGTTCCACCAATGGCCCCAATTCCTTCCATTGTAGCAGCCTGACCAAAGCGTTCAGTTGTTGGTGGGGTCAATCCCAAGGTTCCATCCAGCATCATAGCGGGCAGGTCCTGGAGGAGCTGGAGTACCAGATGGCACAGGAGCGGGGGGCATGGCACCTCTGTTGTTTATGCTCATAGCACCTCCCATAGCCATCTGACCCATCCGAATCTCCTGCTGTCTCGCATCCAGGAAGGTTCCCTTGAATCCTTCCCGCTGTCGCTGCGTCATTTCTTCTTGCTGCCGCCGTATCTCTTCTTAACCGCGCCTGTGCTCTTCCTCCTGCCTGTACCCCAGTTGCTTTCGTTTTTGCACCTCTTGGTTATGCAGCGCTTCCATCCTCCGAAGTTCTTCTTGACGCCTCATCAAATCCTGTCTCTTTAGCGTGACGTGGTGCTCATGGCGTGCAATCTCCATCTCCATCTCCAGCTTCAGGAGCCTCCTTGATGTTGCAGTCCACTTGGTCCTGCTGCTGCTTCTCCATCTCAGTGAGTGCGTTCCAGCGCATGGCATACTCATACTCAAAGGAGCCAGGCTGTGCAAATCTGGGTGACTGCTCTTGTTCCTTTAAAATCCTGGTTCTTTATAACCAGCTTCTCTAGAAGTCCCTCTTCATCATCTAACTGGTCCATTGGCTCCACAGTCACAGGATGAGGAAATGTGATTAGCAGGAAGGAGCTTTCACTGCATCTGTCCAGAGCTTTCTGAGCAGCTGTCTTCCCTGACAACTCAACAATGCCTTTTCCCGAGGGCCTTCCTCAATCATCCACAGTGATGACTACAGCCATCTCCACCTGGCCAAACACAGAAAAGGCTTCTTCAGCAGTTTGTTGGACACATACTGGGGAAGGTTTCAAACTGTAATGGATGCACTATGGCAGGCAACACGCAGCTGCTTCCCTCGGAGTGGCATATTGTCCAGCCCCACTTTGGCAATCTCCTCTAGGGTTTGTGTTTCCAAGTGGATAAAGCTAAATCCTTTATCCTTATGAATGAAGACTTCACACACCTTTCCATATTTCTGAAGTAGTTTCCTCATTTCTTCCTGAGTGATGTGGAGAGGAAGATTTTCCACAAAAAGATGGCTTCATTGGGTGAAGGTCTTCTCTCCTGATTTCCTAAAATTCTGCAGGTAATAGTCAAGCCTTCATTTTGGCTGCTGGCCTGTTGCCCATTTGCAGGTATTGGCGGTGGTGGCGGCTGCTGCTGCTGCTGCTGGTGGTGATGTTGATGCTACTTTCTTGGAGTAGGATTTTGCTTCTCCAAGTTAAAAGTTTTATTACTCCGCATTTTTATACCCTTCCATTGAAGACAGCAAAGTGCCCCCCAGTCCTCTCTAACCTCGACTTCTCCTCTACGAGTAATGGTGACGACAGTGCCATTTTTCCTACCTGAGAGATCTTCTGGGCTCATGGTTTAGCTTATTCTTCACTGCTACCTAATGTGGCATTTGGCTATTACTCCATATTAATTCTTCTTTCTTTTCTTTTTTTTTTTTTTTGAGACAGGGTTCTTCTCTGTCACCCAGGCAGGACGGCAGTGGCATGATCTCAGTTCACTGCATCCTCTATCTCCTGGGCTCAGGCAAGCCTCCTGCCTCAGCCTCCCAAGTAGCTAGGTCTATAGGCCTATGGCATCAGACCTGGCTAATTTTTGTAGAGACAGGTTTCACCATGTTGTCCAGGCTGTTCTTGAACTCCTGGGCTCAAGCAATATTCTGGCCTGGGCCTCCCAAAATGTTGGGATTATAGTCATGAACCACTGCACCCAGCCTGATTCTTCCCTTCTAATAACTTGCTATGCCACATTGCAGGCAATTTGACTCAATAAATATCTAATTATCACCCTAAATAAAACTATAGTCAAAACTTTGAAATATAATAAAAAATATGACACAGACTCTGTCTTAAACAATTTCCAGTCTAGTTAGTGATAAAAAAAAATACACAAATTCTACTACATGATGTATAAAAGCAGCTGAAATTGATTTATGGTGCTTTGTCAGAATAATGATTACCTTTGAAAGTAATGACAAAGAGGAAAATGAAAAGCCTCTGGAGGGCTGTGTGACTGATCTTTATGGTTGTAATATAGATGTGTTCAATTTGGTTTTTTAAAAAAATTGACATGATTTGTATACTTTTCTGTATGTACATTATATGTCAAAATCTTTACCAAAAAATTGAAAGGGTTCAGGTACGGTGGCTCATGCTTATAATTCAAGTACTTCGGGAGGTCAAGGCAGGAGAATTGCTTAAGCCTAGGAGCTCAAGAACAGCCTGCGCAACACAATGAGATTCCAACTCTACAAAATTAAAAATTAAAAAATGAGTCGGGCATGGTGGCCTCCGCCTGTAGTCCTAGCTACTTGGGAGGCTCAGGAGAGAGGATCACCTGAGCCTAGGAGGTTGAGGCTGCAGTGAGCCACTGTACTACTCCAGCCTGGGCAACAGAACAAGACCCTATCTCAAAAGAAAGAAGGAAAGAAAGAAAGAGAGAGAGAAAGAGAGAAAGAAAGAAGAAAAAGAAAGAAAGAAAGAAAGAAAGAAAGAAAGAAATAAAGAAAGAAAGAAAGAAAGAAAGAAAGAAAAGAAAGAAAGAGAGAGAGAAAGAAAAAGAAAGAGAAAGAAAAGAGAAAAGAGAATTAGCTCTTCAGTGAAAAATAAAAGATGAGCATGAGAGGAGGGGGCGAGATGGCTGAATAGGAATAGCTCCAGTCTGCAGCTCCCAGTGAGACCAACGCAGAAGCTCTCATGTCAATCAAGTATCATTAGAACTCACCTGTAAAAGTCAAACACCTGTCACGCCATGCAACTCCAGAGAAGGTATATCCAAGCTTTCTGAATATGCATAGTGCTCCTCCCTTCAGATGTCCTGCATCTCTCCAAATGGACACTGACCAGCATCTGCAGATAATTTCTCCGTAGAGGTCTCTCCCATCAATTCTCACTGCAGTTTAGTGGGAAGCAACATGTGGCAGAACACACTTTATAATTTTTCAGCATGCCCTTCTTGCAAGGTTTCACATCACACTTCAGACTTTAGGAGCTGGTTTGAGTTGGGAAGTTCAAAACAAGAAGAAACTGGTTTGGAATCTGAATGGCAAAAATGCCTGAAGTTTATGGAAATCCAAAGAAACAGGCATATTGGTCTTCTAACGACTTCTAAACCTGGAATGTGGTCAATAGAAGCTACACAAAGGCAAATGTTACTATTTCTATATTCATATATAGCATAACTACCCCTTGTGTTTATATTTGCTTTTATATTTGGAAAACAGTAAATGACAAAGAAACTATCTCAGTAAAAAACAGACAACCTAGAGAATAGGAGAAAATATTTGCAAACTATCCATCTGACAAAGGTCTAATATTCAGCACTTATAAGGAACACAAACAAATTTATAAGAAAAAAACAAACAGTCCCATTAAAAAGTAGACAAAGACATGACACTTTTCAAAAGAGACATGTATGTGACCAACAAGCATTTAAAAAACGCTTGACATCACTAATCATTAGAGAAATGTAAATCAAAACCACAATGAGATACCATCTCACTTCAGTCAAAATTGCTTTTATTAAAAAGTCAAACCATAACTAATGCTGTCAAGGCTGGAGATAAAAGAGAATGCTTATACAGTGTTGGTGGGAATGCAAATTAGTTCAACCATTGTGGAAAGCAGTGTGGCAATACCTCAACAAACTAAAGACAAAAGTAACATTCAACCCAGCAATCCCATTGTTGGGTATACACCCAAAGGAATATAAATCACTCTGCCATAAAGACACATGCACATGTATGCTCATTGCAATTCTATTCACAATAGCAAAGACACTGATTCAACTGAAATGCCCATCAACAACAGACTGGATTTTTTTTTTTAAAGTGGTGCTTATACACTGTAGAATACTATGCAGCCATGAAAAAGAATGAGATCATGTCCTTTGCAACAACATGGATGGAGCTAAAGGCCATTATCCTTAGCAAACTAACACAGGAACAGAAAGACAATTACTGCATGTTCTCAATTATAAGTGGGCGCTAAATCATAAGAACTTGTAACCAGAAAGAAGGAAATAACAGATACTGGGGGCTACTTCAAGGGGGAGGATGGGAGGAGGGAAAGAATAAGGAAGAATACTTATTGGGTACTATGCTTATTACTGGGTGATAAAATAATCTGTATATAAAATCTCCGTAACACGAGTTTATCTTCAAAAGAAACTTTTCACATGTACCTCTGAACCTGAAGTAAAAGTTAAAAGAAATAAACTATTAAAAAATAGGCTGGGTGCAGTGGCTCATGCCTGTAATCCTAGCACTTTGGGAGGCTGAGGTAGGTAGATCACCTGAGGTCAGGAGTTGAAGACCAGCCTGGCCAACACTGTGAAACCCTGTCTCTACTAAAAACACAAAAATTAGCCAGACATGTTGGCAAACACCTGTAATCCCAGCTACTTGGGAGGCTGAGGCAGGAGAATCACTTGAACCTGGAGGTGGGGGTTGCAGTGAGCTGAGATTGTGCCACAGCACTCTAGCCTGGGCAACAAGAGTAAAACTCCATTCAAAAAAAAAAAAAAAAGACAATATATACTTAGCATAATAGCTTTGTGGAATTGAATTTATAGTTGCAGTCATGAATAATGAAACCTGAATTGTAAAATATTTTTAAATGATTATTTTGATGATTATTTTGTGAATTAGTTACTATAGAGATAAACATTTCTGGTAACTGTTTGCTGAATGCCATAAGAAAAAACATGTGGTATACTTTAATCAAACCAAAATACTAGGGTTTGATAAAGCTTAATCAAATTTTTAAATAACTATGTACCTTAGATTTTTTAAAGTTATTCTCTTCAATAAACAAAATTTTCAGTTACCTCAAATCTTGCATATTAAATCCAAAAGAAATAGAAATAGTTACATCTTCAAGAATTGTTGAATCCTCGTGGACAAAATTATAGGCTCAATAAAGCAGACTTGGGGAAAAAAAAAAAAGATGAACACAAGGCAAAATCTTGGTCTTCAAGGCCCAATCTTGTTGCCATAAAAAGATCATAAGTGAAAAGTTGGAGATAAAGAGACTATATCAGAATGAAAGACATCATGGAAGGTAGATTTAGTTTGCCTGGTAAGGACAAGGGTGAGGTGGGAGAGGGCAAGAGGAGAGCATTTCTGAAGCACATGCTTTGAATAGCAAGCACAGAGATATAGTACTGGCCCAAAGGACAGCACCTTTTCCAATTTGGCTGGGATATCGGGTACAATATAGGCAACAATGAGAAAGAAGCCTGGAAAAATAGGTTATAAATGCTGGATATTAGACCTTTGTCAAACGGATAGTTTGCAAATATTTTCTCCTATTCTCTAGGTTGTCTGTTTTTTATTGAGATAGTTTCTTTGTCATTTATTGTTTTCCAAATATAAAAGCAAATATAAACACAGGGGATAGTTATGCTATATATGAATATAGAAATAGTAACATTTTGGCTGGGATATCAGGTACAATGTAGGCAACAATGAGAAAGAAGCCTGGAAAAATAGGTTATAAATCCATTGTGGGGAAGGCCTTGAAAATCCGACTGGGGAATATGCACTCTATTCAATAAGAAACAGGGAGCTGGCCGGGTGTTGTGGCTCACACCTGTAATCCCAGCACTTTGGGAGGCTGAGGCGGGAGGATCACAAGGTCAGGAATTCGAGACCAGCCTGGCCAACATGGTGAAATCCTGTCTCTACTAAAAATACAAAAATTAGCTGGGTGTGGTGGTGGGCACCTATAATTCCAACTATTCGGGAGCCTGAGGCAGGAGAATCATCTGAACCTGGGAGACGGAGATTGCAGTGAGCCAAGATCGTGCCATTGCACTCCAGCCTGGGTGACAGGGTGAGACTCTGTCAAAAAGAAAGAAAAAAAGAGAGGAGAAAAGAAAGAAAGAAGAAAGAGAAAGAGAGAAAGAAAGAAGAGAGAAAGAGAAAGAAAGAGAGGGAGAGAGAGGGAGGAAAAGAGGAAGGAAGGGAGGGAAAGAAAGAAAGAAAGGGAGAGAAAA